AAATCGAAGGCACACTTCCCTATGCTCGTCAGATAGTCAGAGCGCTGTGTGACTCAACTACACCACCTCCTTATTGAATGTTTTTACCAAATCCCCTATCTCCACATCGAACTCATCTATCATCTATTTGTGTCGACTGATCATCTATTTATGTCGCCTCACTACATGTTACGGTATCAAAGTTTCCATGTTGCAGGTTTCACTGTATGTTATTTGAGCAACGACTAGTAATGAGCGATAAGCAAGCAGCGAAATCGCAGCGAAGCAAGGTAAAAGCACAACGAAGAACGTGACGAAGCAATAACTGAGGCGTTTTGGGTCGGTCAAGTATGCATAGACGACGTCTGGATTAAGTGCAAATAGCGACGATAACAAAATCTTTTTGGATCCTTTGATCGTTTTTTGTCTTCTTTGTTTTTTACGTGGCGGTCTCACCGATGGAGGATGTGGCTGGACGCGTGGCCTGCGTCTTCGACCCATGTGGCTTCCTGAAATGTTTCCCGAAAAACTCGGAGCATTAGTATCAGAACGTTGAATAGGTTTTGTTTTGTTTCAAGCAAACAGACGGTGATTATTGAGCTGCCATGTTTCAAGACGTAAGCAAACTTGGTCGATTTCGTTATCGTTTGCAGCTGCTTAAAAGCAAAGCCTTCCTTACAGCGTATCAAGCAAGCAGATATAGAAGGTGAAAATTCCTGTTTTCAAAAGCGTTATGTATCGAAAATAAGCACAGCACAACAGCAAGTGTCACTGCAATCGAGCAGTATTTGTGAGTTTTCAGAAAACAAATGCACTGCACACACATCATCGGAGACAGATGAAAAGTAAATTTAAAACGAGCCTAAAGTTCTCAACATTATTGCGAAGCTTAATTCATGTGTTCTGAAAACTGTGAGGTTAGATTTTGATTTGAGTGAGACTTCGACAATTGCTCATCGAACGAACGTGTTCAAAAACTGCGTGAACATAAGAGCATGGAACAACACCGCAATCAACCAAAATATTTCGTTTGCAAAACTTCCACAGAGAATTTCGAACACGATTTCGAACTGATGTTTGATATCTCGTTGCTGAAGTGATTGTAAATAGCCGATATCGCCAGCATTATGCAACGTTCATTTTAAATAATTCAGGAACTGATTTAAAGATGAATAGCAGTGCTCGTGAGATCGGTGCTGCGGATTTTCTTTCTCTCAACTCATAATTCCCATAGTTACATCTCAATTCTTTCTGATTAACTTATTGGTCATCGTTCTATTATCATTATGAATGAGGATCTCTCGTCATCTCCTCTTCTTCAACTTCAGTTATTCATGATACTAATTTCAAAAAGCAAAACCTGGTCCAGTTGGTGGTATAATCTTATCACTTGTCCAGATGGTTGATGGAACCTGTAAACTGAAGGATGATTTGATTCACTACTTTAATTTCATTTCAAACTCATTCATCTAATAGATGGAAACATAATTTTTAAATTTTTTTCTTAGTGCGCTATTTTCCAAAAAGGAATTTCTCCATTTATACTGCAACGCTGCATTATTTCGATCAGTTCCGTTCAATCGCTCACATAAACGCAAATCATTCACCTTGACTGCGTTCTTCATTCCATATCGCTCCATCTCACGTTGTGCTTTCGCTTTCGTTTCAGATGCGCTGTTGTCTTCAGTCGAAGTTTCTTCTGTTTGTGATTTCGATTTAGCGTTCGTTTCATGCGACAAACCGTATCCACCCTCTTCATAGGAGTCTAATCTGGAGGCTGAGAATTGCGAGTTTTCCGTGATGACATTCGGCTTATTCACTTCTGATAACTCAACAATTTCCGGTCGTT